TAGGTAGGTAGGTAGGTAAACAGGTAGGTAGGTCTATTCCTGTGGCTTACAACTGGCATCTGGCATTATCTTTTTTTTGGCCTATTCTGGTACACTATTGGTATATAATGCAGCCTACTCTAACATCAAGATACATATCTAGGCCAAGCTGCGGGTGATTGACCTATCAAGCATTTCTCTGTGTGTGTGCGGCATGACTGAAGCACCACGCATTCAACGTTGCAGAGTTCGCATCAAGCGGACAAGAAGAAACATTATTCGACCCTACCTGGACCCCAAAAGTATGNNATGGCCTTTTATGGGTCTTGGGCCATGATTTTACCTACTTTTGGGGGGTTTTAGGTAAGCCCAAAACCTCGAATTCCGCACCTCACGCCTGGCGTCCCTCCATTGCACCTCACCAGCTTGGAGATGATAGGTCACAGGGGTTGATGGTTCGGTTAGGGTTTAGGGTTTAGGGTTTAGTATTTGGGGTTTAGGATTTATAGGGTTTAGGGTTTAGGGCGTCCTCTGGTGCAGCTTGCCCATATGCTTTGGCTCGTAGCATTGCCCTGGTAGGGCTTCCCCCCCCCCCTTCCCCACCTGGATTGGCGAAGCCTCCAGCCCTTGCAGAGGGACCTTGACAGTATGTAGGTCTCCCAACATCAGAAAACATGAGGTTCTGTAAGGAAAACCCATCAAATATCAAAGAGATAGCTTCTCTTGAGAACAGCATCGCAGCCCTCGGCAACATGACCACGAGCCTTTCCGGGATCCAGCCAAAGAGCCCTAGAGACGGAAACCCCACAAGTACCCCACAAGCCCAACGCCCAAAGCAACCAAGCCCCCTAAGCCCCCTAAGCCCCCTAAAACCCCAAAACCCCTAAACCCCCTAAACCCCCCAAACCCTCAACCCCTGAACCCCCTAAGCCCTGAGCAAGAGTTGGAACTAGGCCCAACCCCAACGCAATGAAGCTCCGAGCCCCAAAACCCCCAAACCCTGTTGTAGAACCTGGCCGTGGGAGGGAGGAACCGACTCACAAGCCCTGGCCCTTACCATGGCCCTTGTAGTACCCCTAAGCCCTAAACCCTAAGCCCTAAACCCTGAACCCTAATCCATCAGCTTTAAACCCTAAGCCCTAAGCACCCTAAACCCTAAGCCCTCAGCTTTAAACCCTAAGCCCTAAGCACCCTAAACCCTAAGCCCTCAGCTTTAAGCCCTAAAGAGCCCTAAAAGCCCTATAAACACCCTCTGCAGTCTCTCTAAACCCTCAACCCTAAACCCTAAGCCCTAAACCCTAAACCCTAAGCCTTACCAGTCTCTCCCCCCGCGTTGGCTGGGGCGGCCCTAAGATGGGGCCTCCGGAGCCTTCGCCAGAGCCGCCCTCGACGCCGCCCCTCCCCCGCCGCCTGGAGCATTAGGGTCTTTAGGGGTTTAGGGGTTTCGGGGTTTAGGGGTTTAGGGTTGTAGGGTTTTGGGGTTTGGGGGTTTAGGACCCTAAGCCCTAAACCCTGGCTTTTAGGGGGCTTAGGGGTTTAGAGGGAGTCGGGGCTTTGGGGGCTGGGGAGTTGGGGTGTACCAGCACCCCCCCAAGTATCCCTCAATAGAGCCCTTGTGGTCCTTAAGAATGAATGAGTGGTTATTTCGCGTAGAATAGAGGATAGTTGGGCGGTGGTGGTAGGTCTTGGGGTTTAGGGTTTGAGTTGGGGGGTTATAGGGTTTAGGTATGGACAAAATCCTGGAGTGTGTCGTCACTAGACTGTCGAATCATGTTGCCCAAATTCAAAATCGCGGCTTCTGCCACAGCAAAGGAAATCCGATCAGCTTCAGGACTATGAATTATTATGATACACTTGTTTAATGACAATGCACTTGGTAATAGTTAGGTTGACAGTATGCGGACATGCGGGAGGCGTCTCCCTCGGACTTGGAATTGTTGCGGGTGCCGGTGGAAGTCGAGTCCCCGGTGTCCCCGCCGGCGTTGAGAAGCCGTCAGATCGAGGCTCGATGCAGCTCTATCGGAGATCTCGCCGGAATCAATGCTGATTTTGGGGGTCTCATGTGAGGTGCAGGACACGCTGATCATCAGGGATGACCTGGAGCAGCAAAAGTCTGCAGTGCAGAAGCAAGGTCTATATGAGAACATCCCCTGCAATGCCCTTTGCATGGAGGTCGACCGATGTATTCCTTATTTTTAATATTATTCTGTCCATAAGCACTTTTTTTAGGGTACTGGGGTGTTAGGGAACAATGTTTCGAGCAGTTTAGGCTTTCAGAGATTTGGTGTTCAGGGTGTGCGCTCGGATAGTTAAAGTACTGTATACTGCATAACAATACTGTAGATGATATAAGTTTTCATTACCTTAAAGACCCTAAACTATGGAAGTTATGGTATATTCCTTATTGTGGGTAACGCAGAATTTATACCATCAACCGCAGTAACCACTGCAGACTATATAACCCTGAGCCGTCTGCTGTTCTATTTCATGGGATACCAGAGACCCCACTCTCGCTTCATTGTTGTTAAAACGGAAGGCGAAGCACCTAAAGGTAGGAACACTATATTCCACAGAAACTCGTCCGAACTGCGTGGTAGCCACTGAAAGCATTCAGCTATATCTAGTTTACGGGAAAGCCACAAGGTTTTCTGTGGAAGGGGGCTCAATGGTGACCCGAAGGCCGTTTCGACACAACTTTCTGCCCTAAACATTAAACCGTACCCTTGAACCATCATACCGCGCCAGGGAACCCTGAATAGAGACGTCACGGCTTTCGTTTGTAGAGACCAGAGATCCCAGGGTCTGGCTTTGTAGGGTTTTGGGTTTCGGGTTTGGGGGGTTTCAGGATTTAGGGTTTACGGGTTTAGTGGTTTATGTAGTGTTTAGGGTTTGCGGGTTTCAGGATTTAGGGTTTACTCGTTTAGTGGCTCAGCGTTTAGGGCCCCCTACTTGGGCAGCTATTAAGAAACCACTGGGCATCCCAGGCTGGGCAAGCGCGCAGAACACCTCGGCGCCTCCGACTGCCGCGAGCGCCCCTGAGGACAAGGATGGTGCGGGGAGGCCACAGTGCGGGGTTCAGGAGTTTAGGGTTTAGGGTGTATAAGGCCAAAGTTCAGGGGCTTTTAAGTGGGTTTAGTTTAGGGTTGTATGGAGCTTTCAGTAATGTTGAGTATAGGGGCCTTCAATGATTTGAGAGGATTTGGGAGGTTGGTAGGTGGAAGAATCATAAGGGGCCTCATCAGCCCTTTTCCGACCTTTACAGCAGGGTTGCTTTGAGGGGTCTGTAAAGGCTACAAATGCAAAGTTGCGGAAGGCGTCGGCGTTTTTAGAGGCTTGGGGATTTGGGGGTTTTCACGTTTTACAGTAAACTCTCCGACTCTTGGCGTTCCAACTTCCAGGTTCTGGAACTATAGGGGTTAGGGTTTAGGGGTTTAAAGCTTGCAGGCTTTGGGGCTTGGGATTCAGGGTTTAGGGCTTCGGGTTTCGACTTTGGTCCGACTGTTGGGGGGTTCCGACTTGGTTGCTGCTGCTAAGAAAAAGGGCTTAAGTAAATAATCACCAATAACTTCTACCTTGGCGTTCCAAAGAATAAGCCTATCATAATATACACCAGCACGCTATTCTAACTGTTCAGGCCCCTAGACTGGTTGCTATTACTGCCGACACTGGTATTTCACTGAGAGCAGGCACAGTCTGTTGTTGTTGTTGTTGTTGTCGACTCGGTCTGTGCCCTTTTTGGGAACTGCAATCATCAGCATCTGCTGTTTGTGTCCGTCGTATGTAGAGTGTGAGGTTTCAGCAGTTGTAGCATTTTTCAGCATGTGCCGCATCCTTCTGGCAACACCTTCATCAACAATGGGTCCCCATCCTCAGCTGGCTGTGACGGGATCAGCATCTCAGCTTGCTGCGCTAGTGTCCTCCAGCTGCACTGGTGGAGTTCAGTCTTCGGCCGGAGAGGAGTCGATTTCAAGTCAGATTACACGTCACCAAAAGCAGCCCAGGCGTGCGTTGCTGGCGCTTTCTTTTGCCACATGCTTGGTGGCAGAAGGATTCCTGGCTTTCGTGCCGAAACGTGCGAGAAAGCATCAGGCTATACGGCAGGATGGCTGCATCAAAGCCCGAGGCGCCGGCGCCCGAGCTTTCGCAGACGTGCCGGCCCCGACGGTTAGCCGGTCATCTTGAACTTCTGCCTGGGACTTGTTCATGGGCAGGAAATGAGGATGATGGTGACTATGTGTATGACTCTAGGTCCTATAAGCTCTAACACATCTAAACCCGAACCACCGCAAACCCTAGGCCTAGACTTTCTAGCAATTGCAAGCAACAAAGACAAACGCCGTCAGGGCTTGCTGCAACCACGGCGTCCGCGTCTTCAACATCGCCGGGGACCTACGTCTGGACATGCTCTAGGTTTAGGGTTTCAGCGCTAAGGCCTTTTGTTTCGGCGTTTCTTCTGTTTAAAGGTACACAGGAGTGGTTCTGCTCAGCCGAGCCATTCTGCAGTCGGAAAATCGTGTGAAGATCGGGTTTCGGGTTTTAGGTTTAGGGTGCAAGGGGACGGAGTTGCAAAGTTAAACTGACAGGAGTTAGCAGGGCACTCTGGAGCTTGGTTCAGGGGGTGGACCCCCAAAAGCTCATATTATGTTCAACTTCAGTGCCCTCTACGGCCAAATCTTAACAGGCCTGATCGATTCTTGTATACATCCTATAAACCCCAACAGCAGTCTTTTCAACGCTAAAATTCCAGGGCTTTGAAGCTGGAAATCCTAGACCCTGAATCCCAAAACTCTTCTATAGAAGCTTCCAGTTGCATCTGAACGTCTTTTGGGAGTCCTACCCTGAACCCTTAACCCTAAAGGCCTTATAAACCCTAATTAAGCCCTAAACCCTTAACCCGAAAGGCCTTATAAACCCTAATTAAGCCCTAAACCCTAAACCCTACAGGCCCTAAGCCTAATTAAGCCCTAAACCCTTAACCCTAAAGGCCCTATAAACCTTAATTAAGCCCTATGAACCCTTAACCCTAAAGGCCCTAAGCCCTAAGCCATTAACCCTTAACCCTAAAGGCTTTATAAACCCAAATTAAGCCCTAAACCCTTAACCCTAAATGCCTTGTAAACCCTAATTAAGCCCTAAACCCTTAACCACTACAGGCCCAAAACCCAAATTAAGCCCTATGAACCCTTAACCCTAATTGAGCCCTATAAACCCTTAACCGTGAAGGCCCTAAACCCTAAAATTAAGCCCTAAACCCTTAACCCTAAAGGCCCTAAACCCTAAGCCCTAAACCCTTAACCCCATAAAGGCCCTAGTTAGAACCCTAAACAAGCCCCGGTAGGCCTCCAAGAAGCCTTTGCGGCCGCGGCGCCCGCGATCTCCACGGAACAAGAGCGCCTCGGTTTAGGGTTTAGGGTTTAGGGTGGTTTGTATTCAGGATCCTATACGGACCATGAACAGTTCGAAGAGAAAAATTGCCGTAGTCGGGACTAGAAACGGTAGGCAATTGCTAATCAGTCCTGGCTTTTTGGGCTCAGGGTTGAAGAGGTTTCATGGTTTAGCTTAGGCTAGAGGAACCCTAAACCGAAACCTTGGGAGGAATATAGACGCCTGGTCAAAAGCGCTCTGTCACTCATTGCTTTTGCTTCTCTGCTCCGGAGTTAGGTCATAGGGATCCACGTATTAGGGCCTGGAAAGACAGGAAATTGGTTCCAGTGGTTTTGACACAGGTGCGCGACTTGTCACCAACACCTATTCCTCAGGGTTCCTTATTGTCCTTATCCGTATACCCGAGAACCCTAAATAGACGGAGCCCCTATGACAACCTTATACATCCCTAACCTTAAAGCCCATTAAAGTCTTTCAACCAACACTTTTTAGGGTTTAGGGTTTAAGATTTTAGGGTTTAGGGTTTCAGGTTTTGGGGTTTTGGGTTTAGGGTTTTGGGGTTTAGGGTTTAGGGTATAGGGTATAGGGTATAGGGTACAGGGTTAGGGTTTAGGGTTTAGGCTTTTAGGGCTTTTGGTTGTGGGTTCATGGGTAGTTACTGGCAGTGATAAATCTGGGGCTTATGTTTAGGGTTCAGGGTGGGGGATTATAAGCAGGGTTCAGGATTTAGAGTTGGGGGTTTATAAGTAGGGTTTAGGGTTTATATGTAGGGTGACCTATAAGAAAACAAGTATAGCCCATATTAGGGGACATTATATATATATACATATATATATATATGATAATATATGTAATGTATATATAAACCCAAATCATAGAACCCATATTAGGGGACTTAGAAGAACCCCCACGAACGACCACCCATGAACCTGCAAGAAGAGCTTCAGGGATTATAGCTCTCATAAGCAGAGTCCTGGTGGGGCCTAGGGCTTTTGGGGTCTAGAGCCTGGGGGTTTAGGGTTTAGGGCTTAGGCTACTCTAGGGCTCAGGGCTTGGGGCTTAGGGCTGTTGGGGTTTAGGGCCTATGGTTTTAGGGTTTATTGGGTTTGCTGGGATGTAGGGCTGCAGAGCATTAGGGTTTAGGCTAAAGGTTCAGGGTTTTTTGAGTGGGTGTTTCGGTTGAAGGAGCTGAGCAGGGGAAGTTCGGCTTCTCGAGGTTAGGCTTGAGGGTCTGCGGGTTGGTGTGGCTTGCACCCTCAAGGACGACATGAGCCCTAACAGGGTTGAAGGTTCATAGCATATAGGAATTCATAGTACCAGGGTATAGGGCCCCTACTTTTAAGGGTCATTTCGTCCTTAGGCACAGTAGGTAGCCTTGTACCCCTTGCCGGGCTTTGTATCTAAAGGGCCACTCTCTTGCAGGCCTTGGAACAACTTAGAAAGCAGGCCTGCATGGTAATACCAAAACGGGTCCCAGATACCCAATACATAGTAGACAGTAGGGTTTCTAGAGTAGGACTCACTAAGTATGGTTTGGGCAAGTATCCCCCAGATAGGTACTTCGGACCCTTTGGGACAAGCTTCAGAACCTGAGGTGTGCATGCCAGACAACGCTTAGAAGCCAACGCCTCAACCAGACTCGGAACCTTCAGCACTAGTTTAGGGTTTAGGGCTTAATGGTGGGCCCCTAAACCCCAAACCCTAAACCGATCTCTTTGTTCGCGTCATTTCTCTGCCTGGCGCCAAGGTTTCACGAAGCCAACCCCTGTCAGGACAGCTTGGAGATGTCGAGTTTCGGAGCTGGCGTCCTAATTCGGGTGTAGCGGAAGCTAGCTACAGGTTGGGGTGTAGAGTTTGGGGTTTAGAAGTATTTCGGGGTTTAGGGTTTGTAAGTGTTATTGCTGCTGGGAGGTTTCAACTTCTGCATGAACTTGGCCACCTCCACCTTGTGCGACTAGTGCGATCTGAAACTACATCTGACTTGACATTTCAACCACAGGGTGAATTCCCTGTGGGTCCATGTACCTGTACAGTATATACGTGGGCCCTATGGGTGTTCTTGTTTTATCGCCAAAAAACCTCTGTTCCAAAGACCTTAAACCCTAAGCCCTAAACCCTAAACACTCAAAGAAACCCTAAAAGGTGTGAAGCCTTGGAGTACTGCTTCACGGGTAATTCAAGTAGGGTTCTAAGTCATTCTGAGTTCTAAGCCGGATAACCATGCCATACTGTTGATGATGTAAATCCTGCATCACCTGAAGGATCCTAAACTATGTGAATTATGGTATAATCCGTATTATGATGGTATATTCCGTATTATGGGTAATGCAGGATGTATATCATCAACCGTAGTTATCGCCTATACATTAGGTGGACGTACAACCCCATTTGCTATACCCCATGGACCTCGTCGTAGAGTTCGAGGTTCATGGCTTTCGGTCTCAAGGCTCGGGCCTGAGCCCCTGGTTGAACTTTGCATCGTACTTTCGCAGCCGAGACGCCTACGAACTTCTCTTCGTTCGGGTGGTCTCGTTATCATTATACCATGCTAGACCCCCCGAAGACCCCCATTCCAGTTATGACGGTCCCAAGACTAGAGTAATTAGTGAGTCGACTTTTGAAGTAAGGTGATCGAAAAAGGAGGTAGCCGGCGCACCTCATCTTTGCAGCCCATGCAGCAACTATTCAATAGGCTGGGCAGCACATCGG